TGATGAAGGCTGGGACCCTCGTGAGGATAAGCTGTTTAGAAAATGGATGGATGGATGGATGGACAGACATCTAAGAAACGCGCCGTGAGTAATGCTAACGCAACACATAACTCGGCTAGAACATCAATGGCTTTTTTACATGCCTGACAAAATGTATCCGACTTCGTGGTATTTGCAATTCTCGTCTTCATAAGCCATGAGACTCGTCAACACCCCCGTGAAAAACAAGACGCGCCACCCGAGTTGACTGTGTCCCGCTAACGATGGCTGCCGCTTTCCTGTTGACGCCGGGAAGTGACACCTGCAGCTAATTAGCTTAGCCTAGCATCAAGAACTGCATTCTGGGGAACAGCAACCCCGCCTGGCGCTTGCTGTGTCTTTTTCATCCTCAAAAGCGCATGCAGGCGTAATTTCTTTGGGAGAAAATACAAACACCTTGTCAGAGTGTCAGTGCGGAAGACTGCGTGGGAGCCAACACTTATATGAATCTACCGTGTTGTCTTTTGTTCATGACGCTCTTCACAGTAGTCGTGACAGATGAAAACGGTGAATGCATTAGCAGGACATTTCATTTGTAGGGAGGTGGAGCATGCTCTGCGCAATTCTTTACATTTTGAAATTATCTTTTGTTTTATGTCAATTTTACAGTTAACCTCATCGGGCGTGACAAACAAATTGAAGCAAGCATGCTGGGCCTCTTATTAAGAGAACGGTGTGAATGATAGATTCTACCTGTTTTCTCAAAGGCCTGTGATACGATAGTCTCCTATTTGTTGACCGGGTGAGAGTGAGAACAGGTCATAAGGCGTATGTTGAAAAATGTGTGTGTGAAGGGTGAATCCCTGAAAAAATAAAGTAAAATAAAATATATGGTCTCACGTATCACAAATTTGCCGCCTATGACAGGTGGGTCCGAAACTTTTCCCTGGCCCTCATAAGAATATGACTTCAGCTGACAATATAATGTTGGCTGGAGCTGCTAAATTAAAGTTGACTGTCGTCAAGTTTCGAAAGGACTTTTTTTTGTCAACTCGAGTACTTTTGGTCGAGTTATTCGCCATTTTCTGCTTGAGGCTGCAACCTTTTTAACTCAAAAGTTTGCATGACTTCAAAGACATTTTTTTTCTCAGCCAAGAGAAAGGCTTTGATTTGTTTTGAGCAATCTGCGCAAGACGAACCTTCCATAATAACAACTGTCACCCTTTTGTGTCGGCAGCCCGACAGGACGTACGACCTTCAAATCGGTCGGCCCACCGTCTCGTACTTCCTCAAGCAAGCGGCGGGCATCGCCAAAGGAGCCGGAAAAACAGGTGAGACACTCGCCTCCTTCCCTCGTGCCATGGGAGCGCTCGCTGCCTTTTGAGCTCGACTCGAGTGGTGTTGCTTTCACAGTTCTGGCGGCTCCAACGGACTCTGAGCTTTAGCAGTAAAGAGAATCGCTAATCCCTCTTCGGCGCCGTCTCCGTTCAGATGTTGACTTCTAACAGCCAGCTCTACCCTGCTGCCCGCTCACTCTTGTTCACATTCTACAATAGAGAAATACATTTAACTCCAGTTCTTGCAGGGGGATGTGGTTAAGACACACCAGCGATTGGTGAAAAACTGCACAGAGAGAACAGATAAGATGAGTGCTGTTCATTGAGGTGTTATTATGAATCCCACTTGCTTTCCGGACAAAGTTTGCCTCTTTGCAGTGAAATTTATAAAACCATCTCAGCTCCTCTGTGGAATGATCAGTACGGCATTAATATTAGTCATTCTACCCAGAGGGTAAAGAGTATATGACTGTGGATGTTGTAGCTCAACCGTTTGTCTTCCATTTATTGCTTCAAGGTGGAATTTTTTTCAAAAGTAATATTAATTAATTAATTTATTTATTTCAATCCACGGCGGTCCAGTGGTTAGCGCGTCAACCTCACGGTGCAGAGGTACCGGGTTCGATTCCACCTCTGGCCTTCCTGTGTGGAGTTTGCATGTTCTCCTCGTGCCTGTGCGGGTTTTCTCCGGGGGACTCCGGTTTCCCCCCACATTCCAAAAACATGCATGGCAGACTGATTGAACACTCAAAATTGTCCCAAGGTCTGTGTGTGAGTGCGGATGTTTGTTCGTCTCAATTTTTACCCGGAAGCTTTGCCAGCACCTCGTGATGGCATCCACACAGACAGACATTTCCAGTCTATGTCAAACTCCATTGCACTGTGTTCGAACTACTCAGGGTTGTTTTCTTAGTCTATTCATACCCTCTGGTGGTGGAAAGTTGCGACCGCAGCAAAGCAATGAGATTTTCCCTGTCAGGGGTCGCCAATCCGTGATGATTGGCCCACTTTTTTACACTGGCTGTTTTTCCTGTCCTGACCAGAAGAATCCTTCACTGTAACTTTAATGAGTAAAAGAATGATAATCAAAGTAAATAATGCAATCTTTTTTCCGTTGGAAGGGCACGAGACGGCCGGCATGGTGTCGGTGCGAGCCGTGTACGAGATCGCCCGTGTGAAAGCGGAGGACGAGTGCTTCAAGATTCGGAACACGTCGCTGGAGAACGTGGTGAAAAGCATCGTGGGCTCGGCACGCTCGCTGGGCATCAAGGTGGTCAACGAGTAAGTGGCGTCACGTGGCGCAACCCATCGTATCAGTCGGCGCCAGAAGCTTCGAGATTGGCCGAGTTGAATGTTTGATCGCCACTTTAAATGAAGTTTAGGCACAACTGCCCACGTAACAGACAAGGAAATATTTATAGTGTTTTAAAATGATTGCACTCCAACAGCAGCAATATTCTGGACCACGCGATATTTGTATGTGTAAGAAAAAAATGATAATTCTTCTGATTAATGGTGTTTTTCAAATCATAATATCACAAGAAAAAAAGCTATATTTTATCAATTAAAAAAAAATCTAAACGAAATTGTTTTCACTATTAATATTGTTACAAGAACCCAGCCGCTGGGGGGCAGTGCCCTCCCCTGGGGGTGCACTGTTCCCCAGTGCCGGTCCCAAGCCCGGAGAAATGGGGAGGGTTGCGTCAGGAATGGCATCCGGCGTAAAACTTTTGCCAAGACGACCATGCGAGTTGGTGGGACGGTTTACAGGGGCGGATGGAAATTACTGACTCGCTGTGGCGACCCCTGAATGGGGATGTGCCGAAAGGAGAAGAAGATTAATATTGTTACAAGAAAAAAACATTTTCTCAATAAGTGGTTAATTACAAAAATACAGGAAATCTGGGGGGATAAATATGGCAATAGTTACATAAATGCAGGAATAAACTCCTATTTTTATTTGAAACATATATTTTCGAGATAAATTAATATTTTCAAAATTAAATTTACAATATTGTGAGTAATAATGCATATACTTCGAAGGATACCCTCTTATATGTTTGAAAATGATGGGTTAATATAGGCCCCATTTTGGAGAAAATCTCGTTCATTTTGGAGAAATCTACTTTTACATTTTTTTAATTAGTTCCAGTATTATGAGAACAAAGTACTATATTTATATTGTGTGAATACATTTGTATGCATTTGAGGAAAAGCTTGTAGAGTAAAATGTCCTAATATCATAAGAATAAATATGCGTATTTTTGAAAAAAAAAGTATTTGATTCATTGCAGTACCACACAAAATTAGAATTATTCTCCAGAATAAATGGTTATATCTTGTTAACCTAATAGCATAAGCAAGTTATTTTTTAAACTTAATGTCACAATATCAATAAATGCATGTATTTTCCAACCTGAAAAGTAATATTTTCAAGTCATAAAGTCCCAAGATTAGATTTATTGAGTCCTCGCTATCTTAAAACCTTTCTTAGGTGTGTAAGATGTGTTTTAGCAACATTTGAACATTGTTTAGCATTAAAACGATTAAACAACACAGTTGATCTGCAGTGGTTTCTCTTTTCTCATGCCCTCTCTCCCAAAAAAAAAAAAAAAAAAAAAAGCAAAACCCAAGCATCCCCTCATCCTTCTTTTTGTTTGTGTGCTCAGCCTCTCCGCTGACGAGTACAAAGTGTTCTTGGAGCAGCGAGAAGAGAAATTGAAGGCGGACGCCGCGGCGGCTGCCGAGGCTTCGGCTGCCGCTGAAGCGCCACAAAGCAAGAAGAGATAAAACATTCACGCGTTACCGCGGCTCCTTACTGACATCTAGCGGCCATAGGAGCTGCTACACTGCCCTCCATGGAAAGCCGGCGAAGCATTTGTTCCAGATCGTCCGTGTACGCGTACACTCTTTGACCTCACTGGTAAAGACGATTTCGTGCACTAGTAGAACAAACGTGTTTTTTGTTGTTGTTGGGTTTTTTGTTTTTTTTAACCACTTCTGGCATTTCTGCATAGGACAACCGCATCTGCTAGTGAAGCGTTCAATGTTAATCGAGATGTCATAATGATACACTAGTAGTGACTTAGTGCACAATTTTACCTCATTAGTGTCCTAGTAAAATGCCAACGGTGTCCCACGAGTGTTGACAAATAGCGTGACTAGTACATCGACCTTAAGCATTCTATGAAGCTGTGGTGGAATAAATAATGTTGCTAATGTAACACAGTAGTTTTCTCGTAACGTTTAAATGCGGACTGGCAGGCCAAAAGTGGCATTTCGTTGCCCTTGTCGTTCTACTCGTCCACTGAATTGTCTTACTAGTGAGGCCAAAGCCCGATTTCCTTACCCACCCATTCCTATTTATACACATTGTATACAAAGTACCAGCACTGAATAAATCCAATTCAAGTCTTTGCTGTGTCTTATTTGACTTAAAATTTCTCAGACTTCATTATTTCCACAAGGTAACACTGTCATCAAGCTTCAAAGTTGAGCGTGCACGTCACTCCATACGTGAGTATGACAAATGTGTTTGACAAGCCTGAAGTGTTTAACTTAAAATTTCACAAACAAGGTTTTTTTTGTGTCTTTTTGTTTTTTCAACAAACAACAAAACTTGCACCATAGATGTTTTACACGTGGTGTCGCCCCGAAGTCTGACATTTGCTTCCCCCTCACTCCATTTGTGCAATTGACTTGAAATTTCTCACTCCGTCTTAATTTGCTTTAAAAAAATAAACGCATAACTACAAGTTGCACCATCTTGAAAAGAAAAAACACTTGCAGTCTGTACATTTTGACGTGATTTTTTTTATCCTTGTTTCCATTTCGTGTAATTTGTGCATCAGCCTCATGTGCTATATAAAAGAAGAGGAAAATAAGATGTTTCAACATTTTCGCCTCGAATTTCAAAAGGATATTAATTTGATTCCCTCCCTCCTCCATGTTTTTTTTGGTTTTGTTTTTCTTTACTAGTCCGGACTCGATCTCAAATAGTGCGTTGTTGTTTGTTGTGGGACCGATTCAATTTATGTTTGACATGACGTCTGGTGCAGTTCCTATTTCTAACAGATGATGGCAGCAGTCGACTGATTCACGGAAGACTTCTCAGCAGCTCAGCTCGACTGTTCCACAAAAGTTAGTATGGAATTTCAACGTACCGGTACATTCATTTTTCAGAGTAAAAATCATATTTTATACAAGTAATACACCGTTCAAACATTTGGAAATGTCATTGTTTTGTTGTTGCTGAAAGTAAAGCGCTTGTGCAGTTCTCCCCTTGCTGTATCACGTTTGATCTGTGAAAGTCCTATTTAAATACAACGCAGATTTTTTTTTTCTATTCAGTGTTTTTTATTTACAATGTGTTTTTGAAAAGTGTTTAAAGATTCAGTGTGATTACAGCATGTAGGAGGGAACATGTCAGGCTTCAATTTGAACACTTACATTACAATATTGTATTTTGTATACTGTTTCTGTTTGCAACATTTTTGTGTGTTGAAATACCTTGACAATTTATTCAAAAGGTGTGTCTTAATAATAGGTGAACATTTGTTTGGTATGCGCAATGAACGAGGGATCACTGCAAGTACAGCATATATACAACCATTCCAAAGTTTGGGATAACAAGTATTCAAAATATGGTCCAGACATTGTTAATGTACTGATGCCATCTCCCGCGTCAAATCCAAAAATTCTGATTCTGCGTTCATTCGTTAAACGGCCCAATTCGCCTCTCTGTTCGAATCATCACAGATGTATGCACAGCCCTGGTGTCGATGAAGCTCCTCAATTCACTTTTCACCATAATATATAATAACAGAGGATATGTTAAAACATAAATACCGAATATGTGCGGGAATGATGGATATGTACTTTATTACTCTCCACCTCCGTAGTATACGTGCATTGATGTATATGTGATGCCCGTGTTATGTAACCTTTGTGCTTGACCAAAAAGGCGGAAATGCTCCGACAGTATGTTAAACGATTGGATTGCCTGTGCGGCCTCACATTGTCCCACTTGCCTCATTTTACTGTACCTCTAAATTTAGCTTCCCCTCACACTCCCCTTTTGTCTCCCCCCTCCTTCTCCTTCCCCCTCACCTCCTCTCTTCTTCTCTCCTCCCTCTTTCGTCACTGCAGCCCTCCCCGGCCCGAGCTGCTGAATGGATGCTGAGAATAGAGCGTGGCACCGGAATGCCTATATATGGAGCCCTCCGAGTTGCAGGTACGCCGAGGCAATGAGGAGATTTGTAAAAGGAGGCATGTGTCATCATCATCATCATCATCATCATCATTGGCATCAGCGTAGGCGGGATGCGAATGCGTGCGCACGCGCGCACGTCGGTACCCACAAAGCCGAGCTCGTGCGTCACTCTGAGTCAGATGGCGTCTCATTCTGTCTCGTCACGCGTG